TGTAGACTGAGATCCCGAATGCACTTATAACTATCTGTGTCTCTTGCATGTTAAAACCAGTGTTACCTCGGCCTCGCTTCGGCAAGCCATTTCTCTTCTCCTACTTTGGTGCCTTTGTTCCATGTGTTTCTTCCTCTGCTCTGACATACTTCTCAATTCATGCCATAAGCTCCTCCATACTCTTTGGTAGAGTTTTTGCAAGTGACTTTCGAAGCGGGCATTCATCCTCTAGGTCGTTTTTGAAATATACGACCGCCAACTTCTGGTTGTATGTCGATATTCAGTTTAACACCTTATAATACCGTTTGGCATAAGCCCTGAGGCTTTCACCCTCGCTAATGTTTAAAGCCAGTAGGGAGTCTACCCTTAGTGGCTGCAACTTCTTTGTTACAAACCTGGCCACAAATATCTTGGCCAGGCCTTCCCAACTCTATATAATTTCTTTCGACAATTTGTAGAACCAATTCGATGCGATTTCCTCAAAGGACGAGGGGAACACCTTGCACAGCAACTGCTCATTCCGCTATACAAAACCATTGAATTTAAATATAAGCCAACATAAAAGTTCGAATCGGACTTACCGTCATAAATCTGGAACCTCGGCATATGGAATCTCTTTAGGGCCTCAAATCTATCCAACTCCATTAAGAACAGCGTTCTCGGCTTGACGGGGGATTTTACATCGGTGTAGAGTCGCTTCTTTTGGAGATAGTCCTTCAGATCCTTTTTCGTTCAACCGGGAGCTCGGCTATCAACGGATTTTAGCTTTTTTGGTGCACTGCTCCTAACATCGTGGTGTGTTCTCTTGGACTTTTCTTCATTCACTGTATCAAAGCAAAGTCCCTTCCCCTGGACATGCCGAGATTCTTTGACATAGGTTCCCTTGGTACAAGGCGTCCTCTGCGACTCACCTCTCACTGACTCTGCTCACCCGACATCTCATGAGGGCCGATGTGAGCGCTCATTTTCCTCGCCATGCTGCGGGACTACTGGGATTGTTTTCTGCCCCCCTTTCTGGGCGTCAGTCTTTGCCGCTAGTACCGACGTGTCCTGCAACGAGAATGGTGATTGCATCACATCGTTCTGCATCATGAAATTAACAACCGATTGTAGGTCTGCCTTGTTTGTCATTTCTTTCATCTCGTCGTCCCTCCTCAGGCATTTATTCTTCCATACCTAGAGGTTGCTTTCATTATAATACTCTTCTCGACCTGCTTTCTTCGGGGCATTCCCCTCTTTACCGGCGTTCTTCTCCCCAAGATTCGGATCCTGCGCTCCTTCATTACGGTTTTCTTTCCCGACATTAGGATCTGCATGTTCACAACTCTCACTGTTAATGTCATCCCCAACCTTTTTTTCCTACCCGTTGTTGGTCATCTATTCTCCTTATGTTCTCACAAACAGCGCCAAATTATGGGTGTTGATTTCCAACCACACAACCAAAAGAGAAACTCAGTTGGAGAGCATCGGCAGAATAGATTAAGCTCAACAACCTGCACAAGAAGATGAGAATCCGGCGGTGGTTCGTCTACCCGGGGGCATTCCGATGATCAAGTCAATAATCAATATCTCTCACAGATAACAAATAGTGTTTAAACTCACATTTTAGAACTTACCTTAGACCCACGAGGGTGCCTTGCTTTTATAACCAGCAGTGACCGAATCCCCCTAGAAGCCTCACTTCAATAGACTTAGGCTGCATGCTCATCCTGGACCTTTATCTGGATATAGATAAACTCTTCTTGAGCCTTATCTCTATCCAGACTGAAGTCCTCCGCTATTCTAGGACTCTTATCCCCTATCTGCTTATCTCGAATTCCGACATCTCCGCAGACAACCTCAACCTAGCCGAGATCATCTCAACGCATGACCAATCCACGTGGCACCTCGGCTGACACTTCAGCTTCACCTTAGTCAAATGTTGTCATTCACAAAATATGTCCCTACAGTAGGCAACAATGATGTGACAACAATAGGTGGCCGACGATGAGTTACTATAGAGGTGATTAAGAAGAAGATGAAGTTAATTTTAATATTAGGATGAATGTCGTAAGTAAAATAAAAATTTTAAATTTGAAAAAGTAGGTGTAGTCGAATGTACATGAAAGATATTGAAAGAAACATGGGTTGAAATCAAAACCTCCGCCAATAAAAACAGAGAAAATTGAGGACTTGAAAGTGACCAATTTTGAGACTATATATTAAAATCTTTGGCAAATATGTTATGTTGCTTGCTTGGCCTCTTAAATTCTCCGCCGCACAGGTAATAACTGCAACATACTCGATTCTCACGATATTAATATAAATAAATAAATTCACCTTTTTTTTTTTTAATAAATGAATTCACTTTGAATATCACTAACACTCTTTGTGAGTCCCACAAACGCGCCGTGGTTTTTATTGGCTGTCTATTCTCACACTGAGTTATCATTTCTTCTAATCCGAGTCATGGATAATGTTTGGCAAAACTAAACAATTTAAATATATATACTATTATATTACAGTAGAGTTGCGGTAATTTTTATGTACTTAAAATATTTGTATACATAGTTTTATAATATTTTAGGTATTTGAAAATACTCTCATAGGAACGATTATGTCATAGAAAATTATTTAAAATCGGGGCTTATCCTGTATAGATTTATCCCAATCACGGCTTATTCAATATAAATTAGTTTCAATAAATTGTTTGTACTTAGGAGGTGGAAAATAACTTCATAAGAATAATTATGCTATTGTTTAAAGTCAAAACTTACCTTGTATGGATTGACTCCAATAAAGTTGAAAATATTCTCATAAGAACAAAGTCAGGTCTTGTCCGAAACCTTGGAGTGAGCACACTTCTAGACCCTACGTCTTGACCATCAGGCTAACCCCTTAAGATAGTGTAAATTTGTCTTGCTTTTTAATTTTTTCAAAATACCATCATAACTACTGAGATCAAAATTTCTAACTTCTTATCTCATGTAATTATGACTTGATGAAACTCGCATCAAATTTCACAAATTTTTGTAGTTTTAACAAAACACACTGCCAATATATTCCTCTAATAATTTGATAATTGTCAATAAATAAATAAAAAATCTGTTTGTCATGAGAAAAATGATTTATATATTTAAGATTTTATTAATAGTTTCTATTCATCTTTTTCATTGCTAAATTACATATATTTATACATATGTATCACATGTACACCGACTACTAATTTATATATATGCATACATGAGCGATGAGTACAATTAGCAGCCCCATTTTGGATTCTCAGATGATTCTGTTAAAAACACAAGCTGTAAAGAGACAGCAAAGAATATTAGAGAATCCATTGTAACCAAACAACATGTAGATGATTCCAAAGCTTTTAATCACACTAAATTCTAAACCAATTTCCTTCTTCACGTTCCAAACCCCCCACTAAGCTCCCTCTCTCTCTCTCTCTCTCTCCCCTCTTTCTCTCTCTAAAAAATGAATTACACTTTCCCCGGCCTCCCGGAGAATCTCAAGCTCAACGACACCGCCCCATCGTGGCTCAACAAGGCCGACAATGCATGGGAGCTCACAGCAGCCGCCTTGGTGGGCCTCCAAAGCGTACCGGGGCTCGTGATCCTCTACGGTGGCATGGTCAAGAAGAAGTGGGCCGTGAACTCTGCGTTCATGGCCCTCTATGCCTTTGCGGCGGTCTTGGTCTGTTGGGTCCTGTGGGCCCACCACCTGTCTTTCGGGTCCTACATGACTCCTATTATGGGCCACCCCAACGTGGCACTAGGCGTCTATGTTTTGGGCCGAGAAAAGGAAACTTATGTGCCCAAAGCAGACTATGTGTTTTACCAATTTGCATTTGCAGCAATAACTGTGATATTATTGGCTGGTTCGTTGCTTGGGAGGATGAATTTTTATGCTTGGATGTGGTTTGTTCCACTGTGGTTGACCTTTTCGTACACCATAGGGGCTTACACCATCTGGGGCCGAGGTTTTCTTCTTTCATCTAAGATCATTGACTTTTCTGGGGGTTATGTCATTCATTTGTCTTCTGGAGTGGCTGGTTTCACTGCTGCTTATTGGGTAAATTCAACATTCACACCCCCCAACTCTTCTTTCTTTTTCTTTTTTTTAAGTCTTGACAATGCGACTGTTAGAAATAGAAGAGTTATTTATAATATATTTTTTATTTTAAAATTTTGAATCAGAGTACTAGGTATATTTTTTGTTTATGAAGTAGAAAAGAGCTAAATTTGTATTTATTATTATTATTATTATTATTATTGGAAAACAAAAAAAGATATGCTTTCAATTTCTGATATTATCAGTTTTTAATTTTTTAGAAACTACACTCAATTAGTCTATTATCTCTCACCATAAACTCTTGGTGAGTGGTAGTTTTGAAAAATTTTATGATACATATGCACCTTTGATTTACAATATTTGTAGTATTTTGTTATGATCTATTGTGGTATTAATTATAATTTATTATGATATTAGTTATGATATTATTTTGATTATAATCCAAAAACTCTTTACTCATACCTTATGTTTGATTATAATTCAAATATTTTTATTAATTATAACTCCTATAAAATTGAGTTTTGACATTTATAATAATCAAATCAAACCCATAAAAAATCTGTACCATAGCATTATCTCATAATTTTACTTTGGGGAAAGTGTTATATGTGAAAAAAAAAATGATTTCAATGTGAGTTCTTAGCTTTCCATGGACAGCAAAAACTAGAACATAAAGGTCAAATAAAAAATTGATCCAAAAAAGGAGGATGAATTCATGTTTTCTTGTTTTTTCTTGGTCAAATCAAATGGTTCTATATTTCAAATATTTTTTTATTTTCTACTTAATAAAATGTTTTCAAAAAGTAGTGTTACAAAACAACCCTTTAGTTTGCTTTGCTTATTGGAGGTTAACTTTTGAGACTAACAATGATGTTGCATACCTAAAAGTTATTCAGAATAATACCTATGTTTATTCAGAAGTGGCATACCTCACATCAATATTAAATCTATATAATGTAATCTCAATTTTAGAGTAATTTTCGTGGTACAAATTCCAAGTAGAACATTTTTCATTGATAAACTTGTAAAAATATTGTGGGTAATTTTTGAAATGAATGTTTGAGATTAATAATTATTTTATTTTGGTAATGAACAACATATATAAATATGTATGTGGAGGATAGGTGGGGCCTCGGCATTGGGCATTCACACGACAGGCAGCATTTTCCGCCAAACAACATAATACACATGTTGGGAGGAGCAGGGTTCCTGTGGTTGGGATGGACAGGATTCAACGGTGGATCTCCAATGTCTGCTGGGACGATTGCACCACTGGCCATCGTCAACACCCATATCTGCACAGCCACCAGCCTATTGGTATGGCTCTCTCTGGACATGCTCGTTTACAAGAAAAGCTCTGTCATTGGTGCTGTCCAAGGCATGATCACTGGCCTTGTCTGCATCACGCCTGGCGCAGGTACATTTTACAATCTAGATATACTTAAAAAGTGCAGATTTTAACTAGCCATTGGACAACTTCTTACCTTACTAACATTCATGAGATGGAAAATGTTGGGGCAGGGGTAGTGGAGCCATGGGCTGCAGCATTCATGGGAGTAATGTCCGGCTCCGTCCCTTGGTACACCATGATGGTTTTGCACCGCCGGTCAGCCTTCTTCCAACAAGTTGACGACACATTAGGTGTCTTCCACACCCACGCGGTGGCCGGTCTACTTGGGGGACTCCTCTCCGGCATCTTGGCCAAACCCAAGCTTCTCCGGATGTTCTACATCAATGGTGACAAGTACGGTCCGGGCCTAATCTATGGCATACTTGAAGGACCTCTCCGCAATAGCCTCCGCCAGATGGTTTACCAGGTCTTGGGAGCGGCTTTCATCGCAGTCTGGAACGTAGTGGTCACCAGCCTCATCTGCATCTTGATAAGCCGCATCGTCAAACTCCGGATGAACGAAGAAGACCTCATGATCGGGGACGATGCGGCCCACGGAGAGGAAGCCTACGCACTATGGGGAGACGGAGAGAGACATCCTCCCCTGCTTCGCATTCACATGACCCCAAAGTTTCGTCCCTTCTGCAAACGCCGTTGATTGTGTACCTCCAATGGCATTTGTTCCCTAACTTCAAATAAGTTCCGGCTAGGTGATGTTCCAGAATGCCATGTTCCAATCCCGTGTAAAAATGGCCACTGCTACAAGGCAAATTTGTTTGATCAATGTGGATGCTAAAGTTGATCACTTATACAGATTTGTTATATATGCCTGGTAATCCTACAAATGGCTTGAGACCTAAGGGTGTGTCTGGATATTGTTGCTTACTCTTAGCTAACAAGCCCAGTTCAATAGAAAAGACAGTTTCATATATCTAATGAACTTTTTAAGCAAAGAACCCAAATTGGTTTTTCAACTAACATGTAGAAGGCACAATGTATAACAATATGAAACCTTTGATGTAGCCCGTCAACGAAAAAAACACATGCACACACAAAAACGTATAACAATATTTACAGTTTCAGACAAACAAATGATATATTGCTGGAACTAAATCACCATTAAGGTTTTTACGCATCATAACAATCAAAACAATATACAAACTCAACATTGCAATTCACTAAAAGAGGTATATTAAACACTGAACTATATCGTACATTAGGTTATTACATATAAATTGGAAAGCAATGTCTTCGTTTCTTGTTATACATGATGTTTCAACTGTTACATACAAACAAATTTGTAGCCCAGTTTGGAAAACATACTTCTGTTCAAGTATATAATAGTTTATGACGTCAAATTTACAGGAGGTACAACATTCCTACTTTAAATCAAAGCTGTACGTGACAATGTTTCACAAGTTACTTCAATTATTTACCAATTTCATGCGTTTTCCTTCATCAGCTTGTGTGGATATGGAATTGTGATTTCAAACATCTACAAGTCTTCTTTTACTCATCTCATCATCCATAAGTAGATGCATCTACGAACCAAACCACTGTACAAGCAGAAATTGCCACAAATCACTAAAATGAACAAACTATACACCAAAAACAATTTCGAGTCATGCATCATAAATCAATCAAGACATTCCAGAAAGCAAAGTACCTGGACAATTATTTAATGCTCGTGCCTTGACTCAAGAAGCTTCATGAGTTTGTCTCTCCACATGGCTGTGCAAAACAATAATCAGTGATGATAGATTCTATAACAAGAGAGTATTAGCAACATGAATTGAAGTCAAGTGAAATAACAGGAATTTGTAACTGGTCAACTAAAAATACAATAAAGTTTTCTATTCGCGTTAAACACCTGCATCGCTGTATCTTTCCTCTTTGACAGCTAAATTCATATTCCTCACCAAATCTAATTCCTCAGCTAGTAAATCTGGACCATCTGCAGCACTGGATATGATATAACTCATGCTTAGAGGCACAACAAAACCCACATAGTCAAAATAAGGTTCCCTGAAGTATGCAGAACCAATACCTGTCTAAAGATACATCATATATGGACTTTGCATCCGGCATTCTGCCCATCCCATAAGCAATTCTAATGCCATCTGTGAAAACAATTTGTTTATTTACATATATGGGTGCCTGCATATGTCAAATTGTAATCACAGTTAGTGGTGGCTCAAAAGAAGCAAAATAATTGAAGTGATTCTTGAGGAAAGCAACATTGGCTTATTTAATTAGAAGGATCCAATTCAGGTTAGCAGATGAAATAGTGAAAGGCAATGTTTATGAAGATAACTTTCTCATAAAAGAACCCATAAGTTAGCAGATGCATCCTACAGGAAGAACTTTTTCATGAAATTCTTCAAATAAAAGATCAACACCGAAGTGTGGTGTTAAGTCTCCATTGGAAGTAAAGGAAAAGACTGAAGTACATAAAACAGTGAGATGTACCATATCTGCTCATTGTAATATCTCAGAAGAAAATTCCAGGCCATATTTCCCTGACAGGACTTAAAATTATGGATTTCTTTTTAATCAATGTTAATTATGAACAATGTAACCAACCTAGGTAAACATGATGCAAAGAGGCTGTTTCAGTTTGTCTTTAAAAGTTATTAGTAGTGGACAGTAGTGACTACTTGTTTAAGAGATTGGATATGTTTCTGAGAGGCTTCAATCTACCCAATATATCAAAGCAAACTCACGCCTTTTTCAATTAGCTCTGCCACCAACATTTCCACTTAAACAAGGCAAAGCAAGTATGGGCACTAATTTTTGAAAACCACAGGATAAAATTGTCAAAACTCCCTCAGACCATACTATTTCCTTAAAAGAAAGTTCTATACAATGCATATGATTTCGCTCTAATTCCTGCAAAACTTCAATAGCACTTGGGCCTCACATCTAAAAATACTTACCCTGCATCTCTTTGCGACGTTTATGGCATCTGAGGGACGTGCATCAACACTTAGAGTATCTTTTTCCCCAGGCTGCAGTTTATGAAAATCTCAAAGTGAACATGGAAATAAATTTCCTAAAATCGTTGTTCTTTCCACAAATAGCTCACATATGTTTCTAAGGTATACTTACCTTGCAAAAAAATATCCTGGCAAAGTAAGTATTAACTACTCTTTCTGTAATCCTCACCATTGTGACCTGAAATTGAAAGATTAACAAAACAAACAAACAAACAAAAAACTTAGTACAAAAGGTTTTACACCAATGCATCCCACAATCAGAGCCACTTCTTATGGAAACTATAAAACACTTGGAGAAAGAAATTAAAAATAAAAATAAAAAAAGAATATATGAAAGTACGCTGCATCATTTATAAACTGAAATGCAATTATTGAAGTATAATATCACATACAGCTTTGAAAATATAGTCACAGGTTGTGATCATTATACAACAAATCAAAACACTGTTAATAACTATTCAAGGCAAAATGATTTCCATATTAACTAATTCAGACACAATCTGGTACTCATAATGAATACAGCCAAAAACATTTTCCTGATTATGTTTTATGAAGAAAGATGGACAGTTAATAATCCAAAAGGACACTTTTTTCGCTAAAAGGATAGTGAAGTGACCAATCAACAATTAAGAAGAAAAATCAGAAATAACATAAAATATTTAGAGTAAGAGATGAAAAGACACTAAAAAATGTATCAAATCATCCAGGTAAAGGTTTTTTTAATCATTAAAAATAAGAGACAATGTCGATTTAAAAAAGATTGATGTAAGAGAAGTAACAGAATTTTGAAAAACAATCTACGTTGTTCTATTTCTGTATGACATTGCCTGCTATTTGAAAATGTAGGAAATGCGTTATTAAAAGGTCATCATCTAAATAAAAATGATAAAAAACTAATAATAATAATTGATAAGGTCAAAGGGGAAATTAGCTTACAGAGGTTAGTTATGAAAAAACAAAAAAAACAAAAAACAATTAATGGATATGTGCAAAAGTGAAGATTAAGAATTTAGTGGTTGATTTTTAATTTTTTTAGGTGCTTGAGATTTTAGAAAAACTCATAGAAATGAAGTTCTTTAGTTAATGCATATGTGCATGTACACTCCCCTGTAGAAGGTTTCTACTGAGGAAAATTAGAGGAAAATCTGCATTTAGAATTACTTTTGTCCATCAACTCTATAGTGACAAATCAAGGATTAATATACATAATGAAATAAAGAACAATATTTACCAAAAAAATTAAGTAAGAAACAATGTAAACACATAAGATTTATGTGTTGGCTTACATCTCCATCCATGAAAAAATAAGATTGGGAAGGATCTTACCAAGCAAAAGAACTTGGTTACGATAGGGGCTATGTCTCACAAACCCCGACCCTCTCAAAACAAGTAAGTATTGGACCCTTACTTGGGGTCCAAATACAAGAGCAAACCCATCAAGTAAGTGTTGCATATTGGTGGTTTAAGATATTCTTAAATCATGTTTGTTAACTCACCTGAATTATATATTTTATCCTATAGAAATTTCCCCAAAAAATGGCATATATATTCTCAAAATGTGCTTGTTAATTCAAATCATTTTCATTTGTCAAAATACATATAATATAGAGGTAAACTCATACTTAAATTGTAGTTTGGTAGCTTATATAAAAGGTAGTACAAGTAAACACAAATCCATCACCCTTCTCAATTCCTTTTTCATCATATTCTTCAAAAAATTAAACCAAACCAAACAAAACAAAGCTTGTTCCAATCATTGGGGTCAACTACATGAATCTTTTTTCGTCATTCTGCTCTATCAAGGGCTACATACTCAGTAAATTAAATTTCTTAAAATAAGTAAATAAGCTAAATTGTCAAAAATTAAAAGATATAAGGGTAATGCAACCTTGGGAGTTGTGCTAAACTGCTAATTCAAAATGAAAAACTAGTTATGAATCATAAGAAACTAGAGTTCAACATGCAATCAAAGAATGCAATTTAAGCAAGAAAATGTCCACAAGTACTAGTCTGTAGCATTAAACACATAATAAAATGAGCATCATACTTCATTAATCAAAAAAGAAAAACAAAAGAAAAAACAAAAGCTCCTTACTCTATAGCCAAGTTTCTCCACAAGGTTTCTCACAAGCTGGAACTGATTTGGGCAATCCTGCAGCATGCCATATCTGAGCACCCACATGGAAATAAAGAAACAAAACATTTCAAATCAAATTCCAAGTAATTACCCAACTCTCATCCTCGCTTGTGGAATCTATAAGTTTTTCAACAGCAAATTCCCCTGCAGAGGCAGACAACAATATTACTTATATAGTACCATGTAGACCTGTTCAGAGATAGTAATGAAAATAATTAAGACAAATACACAACAATCCGTTGGTCATGTTGCAATTTCATTCATATACCTACAATTATAGGTAGCAAGAGGTCCCCATCACAAGAGATTTTCAAAAAAATTGTGGGACTCTGGAAACGACGAAGAAATGCCGGTCCTATTGAACTGACATCAGCTCTAGATTCCTTTGCTTGAACAGAGAAGGGAAACAATTGGGCAGAGGACTGCCACTTGATTTCTTCTTGAAATCCTTGCAGACGCATCCGGTAGTGCTTGATAGTTTCTGCACTAGTTGAAATCGTGGAAATCTAGGGTTATGTAATCATAGAGACAGCAAAATGAAAGAGGAAATCCTTATTTTGTAAATCCTGAATGACATTTACAGTTCATAATTTTCAGAAATTTATGAAAGGAACAAAAAATTCCAAAAGGTACTTCAACCAACAGGACATGAAGGCCCTCTCATCAACATTTTTACTTGATTTCTACAATTGTACTAGTAATGGCTATGGCAGTTAACACAGACAAAATTAGAAGTTCCATACTACAAGAATGCAACAATTTGTATCTCAAACTACTATATAATTTTCCAGTATAAGCAATGTTATTCCCCAAGCTCAAATTGTTGGGTATACCTCCTTATTGGAGTGTAGAACCCAATTGGTTTATTAAAAGAGTTTTAATTTGGCTTAGTATTAGTTATAATATATTTTTATATATTATATCTAATTTGGTGGAGACCCAATTCAGTTTGGAAACAACTAAGGTTTTGATAATAAACCCTAGATTCACAATATTTTAGGTATTGTTTTTGCTCATCCCGAAGTTGAGAACGGCTGCTACACACACTCCAATTTGGTGGAATCAATTATTTGGGTGTGTGAAAGGTAGAATTAATGTGGCTGGTTTTTTGCTTCGTTTTCGGTGTTGATTTGGTTCGTTATTTTAGATCTTCTAAAACTCTGGTTCTGAAAATTTTGGTTCATCTATTTGGTGAGGTCTTTCCTCTTGTTTATTTGTGATTATTTAGAATTCACCTAATGGTGGTTTTGTGAGACCATTCGTGTCTCGTTTGTAATCGTTTGAAAAATTATTTGGTTGATAATGGAATCAAATTTCGATCCCGTGGACGTACCTCACATTGAGGGAACCACGTAAAATTCTTGTGTTGCCTTTTGATTTAATTTTTTCGCATTAGTTTTTATTCCCATTGATTGATTTACTTGTGGGAAATCATATTTTTCCTAACAACTGGTATCAGAACTTACGGTTTATTTGAGTTTATTAATTTGTGTAAATCAATGGAGGGGAATGTGGGTCGTATGTCTAGCTTCAATGGAAGCAATTGGGTAACTTGGAAAACTAAAAAGAAATAAGAAGACACAACGGCAGTTACTACCTATGATTGCATGGTTGTTTGTGAAAATGATTGTTTCAATTTTGTGGGCCAAGAGAGCAATTGAGTGATTGATTCCGATGCTTCTTTTCATGTGACTTCTCAAGTTGATTTCTTCACTACCTACACCGAAGGAGATTATGGTTTTGTTCGAATGGGTAATGAAGGTTTGTCCAAGATTATCGGCATGGGTGATATTTGCTTGGAAACAAATTTAGGCTGCAAGTTGTTGCTTAAAGATGTGAGGCATGTTCCCGACATTTGCCTCAATTTGATCTCTACTGGGAAGCTAGATGATGAAGGCTTCAACAACAAATTTGGTGATGGAATATGGAAGCTCACAAAGGGTTCTTTGGTGGTGGCTAAGTGCAAGAAGACTCATACACTTTATTCGATGCAAGGAAAAATTTGTAAAGGTGTTGTCAATGCACTTGAAGATGATACTTCTACCGAATTGTGGCACAAGCGGCTTGGCCACATGAGTGAAAAGGGGCTGCAAGTTTTGTTCAAGAAAGAGCTTCTACCCGGTTTGAAAGGTACACATCTTAAAACTTGTGTTCATTGTTTGGTGGGTAAACAACATAGAGTTTCTTTTCATAAAAATGTTGTTTCTAGAAAAGAAAATGTTTTGGAGTTGATTCATTCTGATGTTTGTGGTCCTTTAAAAGTTAGAACACATGGTGGTGCACTTTATTTTGTTACTTTCATTGATGATTATTCAAGGAAAGTTTGGGCTTTTTTACTAAAAACTAAAGATCAAGTTCTAGAAGTATTTAAGCATTTTCAGGCCATGGTTGAAAGAGAAACAGGGCAGAAATTGAAGTGCATCCGATCAGATAATGGTGGTGAATACATTGGGCCGTTTGATGAATATTGTCGCAGCCAAGGTACTCGGCACCAAAAGACAATTAAGAAGACTCCTCAACAAAATGGCGTTGCCGAGAGAATGAACCGCACCATTGTGGAAAGAACAAGGTGTTTGCTTTCACAAGCTAAATTGCCAAAATCCTTTTGGGGTGAGGCAATGAAGACAGCAGTTGACGTGATCAATTTGTCTCCCTCCTATCCTTTGAATGGTGACGTTCCTGAAAGAGTTTGGACCGGTAAAGATGTATCTTATGATTACTTGAGAGTTTTTGGTTGTCGAGCCTTTGTTCACATTCCAAAGGATGAGAGGTCCAAGCTTAATAGTAAGTCAAGACAATGTATTTTTCTTGGCTATGGGCGTGATGAATTTGGGTATAGATTGTGGGATCCGGTCGACAAGAAAATCATTCGAAGCCGTGATGTTGTGTTTCTTGAAGACCAAACAATTGAAGACTTTGGCAAAGGTGATCAACCGGAGCCAAAAACTAGTGATCTCATTGACATGGATCCATCTCCTTCATCTTCAGTTGATGATGAAAATGGGGGAGATGTGCAGCCACCTATTGAAGATGTAGAGGATGATGCTAATCCTAATGAAGTTGAGCCAGAAATTGAGGAAGAGCATCCAACTCAAGAACCGCCACCACAACTTGAGTTGAGGAAATCTACAAAGGATCGACAACCTTCAAGAAAGTATCCTCCCAATGAATTTCTGTTGATTTCCGATCAAGGGGAGCCTGAGAGCTACCAAGAAGCAATTGAGCATGCAAAGAAAGGTGATTGGAAAAAAGCCATGGACAAGAAGATGAATTCCTTGCTTGAAAACCAGACTTATGATTTAGTGAAGTTGCCTAAAGGGAGGAAAATTCTGAAAAATAAGTGGGTTTTCAAATTGAAGAATGATGGCAAGAATCTGAGGTACAAGGCACGTCTTGTTGTGAAAGGCTTTGGGCAAAAGAAAGGATTGGAAAAAGGCCATGGAAGAGGAAATGAATTCCTTACTTGAAAACCACACTTATGATTTGGTGAAGCTGAACAACTTGAAGTTGAACAACTTGATGTAAAGATCGCATTTCTTCATGGTGATCTTGAAGAAGAAATATACATGGAGCAACCAAAGAGTTTTGTTGAAAAAAGGAAAGAGAAATTTATTTGCAAATTGAAGAAAAGTTTGTATGGCCTCAAGCAAGCCCCGCGGCAGTGGTAAAAAAATTTGACTCTTTCATTATGGATAATGATTTTTCTAAAACCACTTCAGACCATTGTGTGTTTGTGAAAAATTTTCCGAATGGCAAATTTATTATTCTTTTACTTTATGTTGATGACATGTTAATTGTGGGTCAAGATTCTACCATGATTAACAAGTTGAAGTTAGAGTTGAGCAAATCTTTTGCTATGAAAGATTTGGGACCAGGAAAGCAAATACTTAATATGAAAATTGTTCGTGATCGCAAAGAGAGTTGATTTGATTGTCTCAAGAAAGCTACATTGAGAAAGTTCTTGAGAGGTTCAAATGAATAAAGCAAAGCTGGTTGGTTGTCCACTTGCGGGTCACTTCAAACTTAGTTCGAACCAATGTCCTACAAGTGATAAAGACAAGGAAGAGATGCTGAAAGTTTCTTATGCTTCAGCAATTGGTTCTTTTATATACGCCATGGTTTGTACAAGGCCGGATATTGCTCACGCCGTTGGTGTTGTGAGTCGGTTTCTCTCTAATCCGGGGTAATGAACATTGCGCAACGGTAAAATGGATTCTAAGGTATCTTCGAGGGATTTCGAAGGTGTGTTTGTGTTTTGGGGATGGTAAGCCGATACTTGATGGATTCACGGATTCTGACATAGCCGGTGATGTTGATTCTAGGAAATCTACTTCGGGGTATTTGATGACTTTTACAGGGGGAGCTATGGCATGGCAATCTAAATTACAAAAATATGTTACTCTCTCAACTACCGAAGCTGAATTTATTGCCATTACGGAAGCTTGTAAAGAAGAGTTATGGTTGAAGAAATTTTTGCAAGAGTTGGGTTTAAAGCAAGAAAAGGATGTGCTTTATTGTGATAGTCAAAGTGCTATTCATTTGAGTAAAAATTCTACTTTTCATTCGAGATCGAAACACATTAATGTGAGATACCGTTGGATTCGTGATGTGTTAGATTCGAAATTATTGCAACTCGAAAAGGTTCACACAGATGATAATATTTCGGATATGTTATCTAAGACTTTGTCAAAGGACAAACATTTAATGTGTCAAACTTTGGCGGGTATGGTTGATGTCTCCACCTAAGTCGGTAGAGGAAGAATTGTTGGGTATACCTCCTTATTAGAGTGTAGAACCCAATTGGTTTATTAAAAGAGTTTTAATTTGGTTTAGTATTAGTTATAATATATTTTTATATATTATATCTAATTTGGTGGAGACCCAATTCAGTTTGGAAACAACTAAGGTTTTGATAATAAATCTTAGATTCACAATATTTTAGGTATTGTTTTTGCTCATCCCGAAGTTGAGAACGGCTGCTACACACACTTCAATTTGGTGGAATCAATTATTTGGGTGTGTGAAAAGTGAAATTAATTTGGCTGGTTCTTTGCTTCGTTTTCGGTGTTGATTTGATTCGTTATTTTGGATCTTTTAAAACTCTGATTCATTTTGGTTCATCTATTTGGTGAGGTCTTTCCTCTTGTTTATTTGTGATTATTTGGAATTCACCTAATGGTAGTTTTGTGAGACAATTCGTGTCTCGTTTGTAATCGTTTGGAAACTTATTTGGTTGATAGTGGAATCAAATTTCGATCCCGTGGATGTACCTCACATTGAGGGAACCACATAAAATTCTTGTGTTCCCTTTTGATTTAATTTTTCCGTATTAGTTTTTATTCCCGATTGATTTACTTGTGGGAAATCATATTTTTCCTAACAAAGTTGTAGGATAGGGATTCTTGAACAGTTAAGCTAAATAAAAATTAAAAAAACAAGGCAATTGCTGAATTGAGAATTTCAAACTAACACTCAAAGCAATCCCAGCAAGCCAATTCAAGTACTGATTCAATCGACACGACATCTTGTGATCAATATAAGCACCAAATTTTCATATATATATATATATAGAGAGAGAGAGAGAGAGAGAGAGAGAGAGAATTGAGACCGGAAAGAAGCACGAAGGCTTCGAGATAGTCGTGATCAGTATCTCCGGTGCCGTGTGAATTGTGACCGAAGCTTCGAGAGGACTTGCAGGATACGAAGATCGATTTTGATCTACGACAATGTCCGTACCAGAAACCTAATTGAAACGAGAAGCGAAGCGAAAAAGAAGAATAACAACCTAGCGAACTCGGAATTTGACGGCTCACATTTGCTCGATCCAGAAGATCACCGGAACCGGAAACTGTACGGACGCAAAGTTGAGCTCCGACCATTCTCCGGCGACGATTACTATGCAGAGAGATAGATATAGAGAGAGTGATGAGCAGCTAACCTCCACATAGGAAACAAGAAAGAACGTATGGAGCCCAGGTACTTTTTAGCGTAAAACGAAGGCTTTCTTTTCTTTTTCTTGTTTTTCTTTTTTCTAAAATTCGGTTCGTTGATAAAAATGTTTGGTTATGGATAAGGACAGCATCGAGTAGTGTAGTTTATAAAAGTTAAAATGGGATTCATACGGTTTGGGAAGTGGTTCTTTATTTTTATTTTTTCTTTTAGAGAAATGTTTTTTTTTTCGAAATTTTTTCCTCTGAGTAGTCCGAAATTTAGAAGAGAGACAGAAGAGAGGGGAAGAGGAGGAGCTCCACTTGCCGTCGCCTCGCCTCCGCCCGATCGTTGCCCGCCGTCGCAGCTTGTCACAGTCCCGTCGTCGCCTCCGCCTCTGCCTCGCAGCGCCTCCTGCCTCTGCCTCCGCCCCCGGCCTCGCCCCCGCCTCTGCCTCTGCCTCCAGCCCGATTTTGTTAGCCCCTCCAGCCCTTCTTCTTCCCTCCTCCTTCTTCTTCCTCCTCCTTCTTTCTTCTCTTCTTCTTTTGATTTTCTTTTTCTAAAACAAAAAAATTCAAAACGACGAAACGATCGTTTCGTCGTTTCGGGGGGATTCGGAGAAGGCAGATTCAAGCTACCAATCACTTCTGTTTTTTTTTATTTTTTATTTTTTATTAAGATCTCGTTTGGATTAAGTATTTTAATTAAAAAAATTAAAAAAATATTATAAATTATTATATTATTCTTTTGCATATATATATATATATTTTTGGCAAAAGGTTAAAAAATTATTAAAATAGATTGTTTCTAAACGAGGCCAAGTCTAGAGTTAAAAAGTTTGTTTAGGTTGATTTTTTTTATTTTTGTAAAAGAAAAAGTAAAATGAGTATAGTATGTATATGATATTTTATTTTATTAATTTTTTAATTTATTTTATCTTTTTATAATTAATTTAACCAAAAAATAAAAATAAAAATAAAAAACTCACTTGCCAAACAAGGGCATATATATTTAGTATTTTTACTCTTTTTTTTTTTTTTTAAGTAGGCCTTGTTTGTCATCTTCTGAAAAAGTCAAAAAGTCAAAAAGTCACTATCCTATTTAAGTCACATCATCTTATTTAAGTCACTATCACCTATTTATCATATCATTTCAAACCTAACCCATACCAAACTCATATTTCATAAAAAGTCAAAAAGTATATTTATTTAGAACATCCCAAATAACCCCTTAATCTTATATATAAGATTATATATTTTTATTTTTTCATGAATGCATAATAATTTTCATTGTACCACAGGTTCATAATTTTTCCAAGGTTTAATCATTAAGTTTATGAAGAATTGTGGTTGACGAAAAAGAGAATTGAAAAAAAAAAAAAAAAGAATTAACAATCCCATAAAAGAGAGAGTTAATTATACAAATGCTATTTAACGCCTGTTAATTATAAAATTATATATTTGGATTTCTCAGTTCACGGGGATCAAGAAATTAGCTAATTTTATTTTCCTTCGAATTTTTTTCTCTATTATAATAATTAGGGATAAGCAGTGGATATATCGATTCGCCCAAACCGATCGAACTAAACTGAATTGATCCGCCACATTTTGAACGGATGTGTGATGACGAGCAAACGGTTGCGAATTAATTTTTTTCAATTTGCCTAGTTTTGGACGGATGGCGGATTTGAAGTTTCTTTAACCACAACCGAACTGTCAAATCGCGAGCACCTTTAATAATTTATAAAACTTTGTATTTTCAATTTGTTTAGGGAGTTTTTTTAAGTGTGCAAGTGCACACCATGTGCCACTTACACAAAAAGTGTAAGTGTAAGGTGTAAGTATAAGTATAAGGTGTAAGTGTAAGGTGTAAGTTTAAGGTGTAAGGTGTAAGTGAAAAAGAGAATTGAAAAAAAAAAAAAAAAGAATTAACAATCCCATAAAAGAGAGAGTTAATTATACAAATGCTATTTAACGCCTGTTAATTATAAAATTATATATTTGGATTTCTCAGTTCACGGGGATCAAGAAATTAGCTAATTTTATTTTCCTTCGAATTTTTTTCTCTATTATAATAATTAGGGATAAGCAGTGGATATATCGATTCGCCCAAACCGATCGAACTAAACTGAATTGATCCGCCACATTTTGAACGGATGCGTGATGACGAGCAAACGGTTGCGAATTAATTTTTTTCAATTTGCCTAGTTTTGGACGGATGGCGGATTTGAAGTTTCTTTAACCACAACCGAACTGTCAAATCGCGAGCACCTTTAGTAATTTATAAAACTTTGTATTTTCAATTTGTTTAGATATTCTATTTGTGATTTCAACTTGAATATATTTTTTGAATTGAAAAAAATAAATGCATTATTTATCTATATTTTTTTTATTTTTAAGTCTAACTCTAAAAAAATAAATAAATAAGATGATATATGCTGATTGATTTTTGTTTTCAAAAATATATATATATATATATATGTAACAATACCGAGGCATACAATCTCTACTATTACTCTATTCATGGTTTTGGTAGTTTGAATTAGTTTTATATTTTAAGAATCATTGATTGTAATACTTTATGTGGATGAAACATGCTGTGATTGTAATATGTGGATGAAGCATGCTATGATTGTAATATTCTAAAGTTTCAAACTTTCTTTCTTTGGATAAGGCATGCAATAATTATAATACTTTTTTAAATCATTAAGTCATTGAGCATAATACTTCTTTTTTTTTTTTTTAAGGAAGTGCATAAGTTGAATTATGTTGAAAATTTATAAAATTTTAAACCGCCAAATCGATTCGCATCCATCCGTCAATCCGTCAGTCTGCTCAATCCACATTCGCTGGATTGACGAACGGATGTGGATTGATTTTCTCTAATCCGCCAATCTAATAGACAAATAGCGAATTGGAAGTTCTGTAACCCCAATCGACCCGCACCCACCACTAATAATAATAACTTAGGCCTCGTTTGGGAACAAGTTTTTTTAGTAACTTTTTGACATTTTGGCTAAAATATGATGTAAAAACAATAGTATGTTTGGGATGATTTTTTTAGTTTTTTACGAAAAGATGTGCAAAAAGTAGAGAGAAAATGAAAACTTTGACTTTTTGATATAAGTTGTTAGCTTTTGATTTTTTTAATGACTTTTTAACTAAAAAAGTTACTTGCCAAACGAGGCCTTAGTGATGGAGACAAGTAAAATTCACATTTGATGAAATAGCTTGAATATATTTTGAATTGATAGGTGTGCATGGATCAAAAAAAAGTGAATTTCCTATGATGGAATAAAATAAAGAGGTGTTTTGGGAAAATGATAAAAAATTAATTTTTGACTTTTTATTAAGCTTTTTGATTTTTTTTTTTTAAAAAGTGATTTGGAAAGTTAGTAAAAAATTACTTTTGACTTTTTTAATTAATATTTATTTATAATGTCACACCACAATAAAATGACCAAACTATCTCACCCAATTTAGAAAATTGACATGTTCATTCATGTATAACCCTAAACAATATAAAGGGTATAATTATAATTTCTCATGTATCTTTTTTTCACCTTACCAAATGACTTCATACTAAAAAAGCCAATATAATTTTTTTTTCTCAAGCTGCAAACGCAACTTTTTATCATATTACCAAAAGACCACAAAGTCAGTAAAAAAAAAAAAAAGGCAATTAGGGTCCACCTTGAAACAATTCATTTTGTTTTTCTAAACTTGCTAAGTAAATCAATTTTGTAAGTAGAAGTGATTGAGACCCCCTCCAATAACCACCTCCACCACTCCAACACACACGTGGGGACTGGCGATTGGAGGAGGAGGAGAAAAAAACTGACCAATCACAGCCAGAGGGGATTGTGGGGGTGCCCCTGTGGGGTCCAAATCATTTTTCTTTTGTAAGAATGAGTTGCAAACTAGCCACAATGACAAAGGGATATTTGTAGGGACAATTAGTGAAAAATCTTTTTTAACTTTGTGTAGAATAAGAGGTTTAAGATTTTTTTTTTTTTTTTATTAGCTAAGTTCCCTTAATATTTTCACAGAGAAAATTTGATTCAGATAAATTTTATCCGACTTAGAGAAATTTCTACGAGTCAAATTTTCTTTGTAAAAATGTTAAGAAATTTTAACTATTATGAAAATATTGTATATTTTTTATCTTATAAAATCTTAATATCATGGATCTTAAAAAAAATTCTCCATATTTGTATGATTTTTTATAATTGAGATATTTAATTTTAATCGGGAAGATACTCTCATGAGTAAACCCCCCCCCCAACCCAAAAAATAAAATCCAGAAGAGAAACACTTATTGCTCATGGGTAAATAAAAAAAGTTGTTTAGTTTCAATTTTTTGAATTTAATTTTCTGAAAATTGAGTTTTTTTTTGTGTGTTTTTTTTTTTTTTGGAGTGAATATTTTTAAAATTTTAAGCAATTTTTTATATTTTTTTATACACCTTACTTAGATGTATCTAAAAAGTAAAAAAAATATTTTAAAAAGTCAATAAATACACAAGAATACAAAAATGTAGAATTTTCATTAAAAAAAAACTTTTTGTATTTTTGGTATTTAGTGAACTTTTTAAAGTTTTTTTACAACTATTATACTTTTTAAGTGTATTTATGTTAGGTGTATCTAAAAATTTTAAAAATTACTTAAAATAATTAAAAAATTCAGTGAAAATAAAAAAAATACGGAAAATAAAAATTCAATTTTCTTAAAAGTGAATCCTGAAAAGTGAAATCAAACAAGCTGTTGTTATCTTAAATTTTAAAAAGTTTGAACTTGATTTCTTATTTTTTAAAATTTACCTTATATATTTTTTATTAGATGTAGTTGTCACGACCCAACCATCGCCCCAAGGGATTAAAGAGGTGACCGGTCAGTAATTCAAGATTATCAAAGGTCTACTTAATAGTAAGACAATGTAGGGGTTGGTGGAACCTTTTAAATAATAAAGTATAACGTCCAATAAACTATAAAGATTTAGATAAACAAACGAGCCCTTATATATGTATGTGACACCCCAAATTTTAAAGACATCATAATAAGATTTAGAATTTAAAATCAATGTTGCCGCCAAACATCACTAACATCCATTGATTAACAACCCAAAAAT